ATACCTCGATGGCTTCTGTTAAATGGATTTTAAATTTATCAGCAAACTTACCTGAAAAATTCCTCAAGTAATCTTCAGTAATTAAAAATATAATAAATTTTTTTATCCAACACATTAGCTAGCAGTCTTATCTACTCAGTGTTATTACAAAACCTCGTCATAGGTATTTTTATTTTTATATAAAAAAATTTATTATTTATTGTGTTGCATTATCAGCAATAATTGTTACTTATTATCTCTAAGAGATCGTTTGTACTCTTAAATACACTGTTAATGTACGATGAATTGTCTGACTCAATTACACACACACACACACACACATGAAAATAGATATATAAATACAAAAGTTTCCAAATAGAGAACACAAGTTAAAAGTACTTTTATGCAATTTCCTCATGTAAGTAATTTATAGTTGAGAAGTCTATTGACCTCATTTTTACACATAGTCCTTATAAAACGTCATTTAGATCCAACTTATTCATCTAATTGTTCTCTAATTGTCATTTATTTATTTTTTTTTTTAATTCTCACAAGACTTTTTATTCTCAAAGCAAATTATTTATTATTGTTATTAAAAGCCGGTGATAAAAATCTATTCATTAGTTTTTTTCTTAAAAAGTTTCACTCGAATTATTAATTCCTTTTCTGGCGATACTTTCAGATGCACCGAGAGTTATCAGTTTCATTCTCGTTACCGCTTACATTACCTACATAATTTTTTATTAAGCGATTTTATCTTTAAAGTAAACCAAAAAACCTTCAACCCGTCAATCAAATTGATTTAAATAAATTTTTTTAAATAGTAAATAAAAATTTAACAGCCATTAAAGCAAAAAATAAAATAATTTCATGGTGATTTCTATAAATTTTCTCCGGATCTTTTAGTGGGTTTTTTTAAAAACTAAATGACATATGTGTTATCTTCTCTGACGGTTTTCACCACTTGCTAAGTCATTCTGCAAAACGATCTCTGAATACATTCAACATTATCGCTAATGAGATACTGGGTACTGTCAACTTGTTCGCTCCTTTATTTCTTCACACATTAAATATAAATGGATCCTTGTATATGTGTTATGTTCCTGAAATATAAGTACACATATTTAACTTTGACCAACACATGTATTCGGATTTTTATAAGGCTTCAGAAGCCATTTATATATGTTTCTTATTTTTTTATCCAATATCCATTGAACATAAACTATTTTATTAGCGATGACATACTTACAGTTGAATTATGTCAAAATATCAAATAAATAAATAAAAAAAAGTTTTTTTTTATAAAAATTTTATTTATAAAATAAATTTAAAAAATTTTTCAATTTTTTAATTACGTAAAAATAGATTAAATATTATATCTCTAATATTTAAATATTTTGAAAGTCCAATAGAATTTCATATTACAATTTTATAAATTTAAATATAAAAAAAAAAAAAAATTGGAAAACGGTTGACCCTGAAGGCCATCTCTGCAACTTTCCGCTAATTCCATACTTAATGATGTTACAATACGTTATCGGCAGTAACCTAATATTTACAATAATTTGGTTTACATTAATACACAATAAAGAATAATGAGAATGAATAAATATCAAGGTAATAATTTGTTTACTATTTTTTATTATTTACTACTAATACAATTATTTAATATATTGTTTACAAAAATGAACATATTATAAATAAAAAGCCTGAATAAAATTTTTAAAGTCTTGATAATTAAAATATTCAGTTATCATTATTACCAATTCATATGGCAAAGGGATAGCTTTACGGAGATTTTCTACTCTTTCTAATGCTTCTAACTGTTCAAGTCTTCTTGAAAATTTTTTTATTCTATTCGAAATTTGTGTTCGGAAGAAAAAATAATCAGCAGTATAAAAACATTCAACAGGATAATGCGAAACATCAAAGTCATCATTAGGTTCCATAATATGAAAAGAAGGCACTTTAGGGTTCGGGAAGGTATTTTCGAACGCGTCTATTAAGGATTTATTTTTTACTATGAAACGTAATTTTTTATCATCCAAGCATTCAGCACTTTTGTTTTTAACTCCCCTTGAATAATATTTTGTTCGTAGGTGTGTGCTAGCTTCATGAAATCTATGTTTTCAGCAATTAACTTGTCCATTAATATTTTTTCACCTTCAGGAACGAATAAACCAAACGTACGTCTATAAATAAGGTCTTTTAGAATTAAGTAGGTACATTTTCTGTTTTCATTGGTAATGAATTTTGTCTGTGGAGTTTCAAGTGGGTGTAATAAGTAATGCAAAGCCATTGATTTTGAAATATTGTCATGATAAGCCAATAATTTATCCACTGTCCATGGAAAATGCCTGCAAGTCGCCATATTAAGTAACAAAGTATTTGGATCATCATTTATGGTTGCGTTAACATCCGTATCGGCATCAAGTAATTGGCGAATCAATCCAGCAACACGTAAATCATCTTCCATGTCCCTCAATCTGAAGCTGCAACGAAATAATGGATCATATTGATCATTTTCTACAGTTTCTTGTAATAATATATAGTGGGTAGCAGAATAACCATCACTGTCACTGGCGTTTATCCATTCATAATCATGTGCTTCTTTTACAAGTGGAGATAACATTATATCGTTTCGATTCTCAATGGCATACATCAACAGTGTTTTATTTTTCAGACCCTTAACTTTAAAATTTGCTTTGCCTTTGATTAATGATATCACAAACGAAACATTATTGCTATATGAGATCGAAAAAGTTAACAAAGTCATCTTATTCCCAAAATCGTTGCGCCACCTGTCACTTTTAATGTATGTTGTAAAAAGTTTTTCTCCTATTTCAGCATCAACGTTGGCACCAGCTCTTAACAAAATATCTATAAGTTTCCTAGGCAACTCAGGTTCGAATAGACAAATAAAGTGAATAGGTTGAGCTCCATCGTCAGCAACAGCATTTACATTTGCATGGTAGTCTTCAACTAATAATCTTATAATTTTGTCATCTCCATTCATACAAGCTATATGCAATGCTGTGTATCCAGCAAAAGGTCCACTCGTTTCTATAGGTGCATTGTTAATTATTTTATCTTAAAAAAATGAGCTATTACGTCCGGTTTGATGATTTGAAATAGCTTGACGCACTGCTAAATAATATTTATCAATTGCAGCATGCATATTATGTTTATCTACGTCCAGACCTTCCTTACGGTCATGTTGCTTGATGAGCATTCTATAATTCATTCTTTACAATTACAATTTTTTTTAATTATTGTAATAATTAGAGAGTGAGAGTCGTTATTCACTATAGTAACCACTAAAAATCACTTGATTCAATAATGAATTATAAATTTTTGATTTTTCACTTTTTTATACTATTTTTTGGTATATTTAATTTTATGCCACTCCGGAGTCCGATGTATCAATGAAATGACTAAAAAATAACCAGAATGTGGTTAGATTTTACTATTTAGTTATTTCTGTGTAAAATTTCTTAGTTCTGGGGGTTATTTGAATATGATTACAATTTATTAATATTAAGTCTTTTCGACAAAAATTTAAGAACTATCCAACAATTTAATTTTTATATTTTCACTTGATAATTTTGAAATGGAAAAATGTTGCACTAAGCAATTTCCAGAAAATATCGTGAATTATAATACGTGGATAGAATGTAACTATAACACTATGCACAGAGGTGCAATAACCTTTGAAATAAAAATGAAAATATACAGTACAACTTAAGGTAGTACTACCGTTATCACAAGAGTCAAATCCCAAAACCTAACCTTATTTGATTAAATTAACGTTGTAGATTTCCCTATACTAAATCACCTTGGGGAAAGAGAGACAGAGATAAATTTTGAATGTTTTTTGTTAATAAATATTCTCATGCTCTCGGAAACCATACTGATTGTTATTAAATATATTCTAGATGTTATTTTCTCTCGTTGTTTTAATTTTTATAAGAATCTGAACGTCCAGTTTTGTGAAATAAAATAAAGTCTTTGATTTTCCATAAGGATCAATGGTAAAACCATATCCTCCGCCGTCCCATCTTACGGCACCAAATGAATTATAGAATAGAATATCGTTTTTATTTGTATCACATATTGCGTTTTACAAAACTGTATCTTAGATTGTTTATTTACATTTGCATATACACTATTTTTGGCTTAAAAATCAACTGCTTTTACTCTCTTTTAACTTTTCACCCACCTCATCCTTCATCTCACAGTCGCATTACAATACTATTAATACTATTTTATACTTATTTCTAGTATCCATCCCTGTATATTAATGACAGCCTTTTTCTGACATTCAATATTGTAATACTACTCAATTTCCTTAAGTAATTTTTCCATTTCTCTAACATATATACACAGCTCCCGATTTATTTCCCCTTTTAAAATTATCACTAATCTTTCTCTTGTTAATTCCCCCTCTAGTTCTTCCATCCACTTGTATCTTGCTTGTTGCCCTTTTTCACTTATTTTTTCCATTATCTCTGAACAGCTTAATAAATGCATCAGTGTCTCCTCTTCTTTCTTGGATATTCTGGATTCCCAATTCTTTTGCCCTTTTTTTCCGCTTCTCCACAGATTTCCACATCTCGTTGTTGCCCATACCTCTTTGTACTCACTATTAATTCTATCTTTTTTCCAATAGCTGATTTTCACTTTCTTGTAATATATCTTTGTAAAACTCGTTATATCTGGACTTTTCTATTAGCAACTTTTCCTTTTTTTCTAGTTCTTTTTTGTATTTTTCCAGTCCCTCCTTTATTTTTTCCTCTATTTCTTCTACATTTCCTCCCTCGTATATTCCCCTAATAATTTCTTCTATGCCTATCACCACTAAAAAATTCTCCACTTTTTTTCCCCCTCACCAAATGAATTATATTATTTTGATCAAATTTTCCAAATTAATGAATAGTATATTACATACCTAGGCCAGTAAAATAAGAAAAGTCTCAGACCACATGTAATTGTTGGCCGAGGCAAAGCCGAGGTTGACAAACATGTGGTCTGAGGCTTTACTTTTTACTGGCCAAGGTGTGTATACTATTTTTCTGCTCGACGTAACCGGAATGTGGCAACTTTGTTTAGCGCAGCGGCCAGAAAGTTGCCACTTTCCGGCCGGAGGGCAGAAAAATATAATTCGTTGTAATTAATTATTTTTTATAAAAATATCTTTTTTTTAGAGTATTACAATTAAAATTTTATTTCATACAGCATTATATATTAAATTATCAAAAAATGAAAAATTATTGGGAAAATAAAAAATCTAAACAATTTTATAAAAGATGGTCAAGTACACAGTACTAATAATCTGTCTATCACAATATAATAAAAAATATTCAATCATAGTAAATTGATCCATTTTTAATTGTCACTCCACTGATGATCCTACTAGTCTTCTAAGAAATAACTTGACTCATGAATTCGCTTCTTAAATCTGGATGATCCTCTAGCCGGTGTTCAACCCTGTTTACAAGAGCTTGTTTCGTTGATTCACCTTGCACAAAAAGGCTCAAAGCCATTTGGAAATATAATTGAAATCTTCATTCCCCAGTTGATCTTTTGCTTTCGCCATATGTAATTGGACATCTTTTTTTAGAGTCAATTTCCATTTGGGATTTTCCGAATTATCCAAGCACCCCTCAATCCATTTTTGTGCTGACATTTTTCAGATTTATTGTAAAATTTTTTTTGTAATAATACTTTTTTTAGCAATAATTAACTTAATGGTTAACTTTAATAATTAATAATTAACTTTTTATGACTTTAGAGACAAAATTAGGACTAGGGTCCGTGTGTTCGAATGGTGTGAAGAATATTGAATGGGAAAGTTGGAAAATCTGGTGTGAAAAAGAGGGTAGGGGGTTAAAAATTATTAAACTTGTATTAATGTATTAGTGTAATCTTTGATGCTACATACTTTACCATTGATATGAATTATCGTTATTATATCTACATTCTTTCCCCTATTATTAATTTTCTTGGAATTTTCGGTAATTAAATAGAAGTTTAATTTTACGACTACGATTATCATCCATGATTTATAAACAATAATGAAAATTATCAGGAACTTGGACTATAAAAAATAACTCAGTGTTAAATTTTTTTTAAATGTTGCAACGTTTCGTTGTATTTCACAACTTCATCAGGCAAAATTTAAGATTAACACTGTTGTATCTCAAAATAAACTCCGAAAAATTTCATCGTTTTACAATATATAAATAAAGTTGAACAAGTGGTAACCATAATATTAAGAAAACTTAGTCAATTTCCATTCCATTTAAACAAATTAGTCAACAATAATAAGTTATAAAATTACAATAATTACATTCAAGACAGACAGCAACAGACTGTCTACAGTCAACAGACTTATTTTGAGATACAACAGTGTTAACCTTAAATTTTGCCTGATGAAGTTGTGAAATACAACGAAACGTTGCAACATTTAAAAAAAATTTAACACTGAGTTATTTTTTATAGTCCTGACAAGTTCCTGATAATTTTCATTATTGTTTAATTTTACATATCTTCAACTAGAAGAAATAAAAGTAATTTCAATTTAAATTTATGAGGCTTATTCTTCTCCTATGATTATATTTTCTAACAAAATTTATTACATTAGAGAAATTAATAATTTTCTAAGAAAATGAATTACAACTATATTTAAATACTTTTTTTAATTACTCTCTAAATATAAAACAATGAAAATCACTGGAAATTAGTAGTAAATTCACTATTTCACAGTTATAAGTATACCACTTGGTATACTTATAACTGTGAAACAGTGAAATTCCACTGATTCATTTTCATTTTTAGAGAGTACTTAATTTTTCCATTCCACGTGACTATGTCACAGTCCTGACTTAATTATTAGTCAAATAAAATAAAATAAAATTTTTCTTTATTAAATAATGACTTTTGTTAAATTACACTGTACTTTTTTAACGATTGAAGTTTTTAAAATTATAAGCTTATCCTGATGTTACATTCATCAAGAGCTTTCATTTGTGTACCCACATGCATTTTCATATATTTTTCATATATATAAATATATGAAAAATTGATGTTGGTACTTAAATGAGAGGTCTTGATGAGTGTAACGTCGGGATGAGCTTATATTTTAAAAAATATCAATAGTTCACGAGATACAAGGTCATTTCTTAATTATGTGTATCTAGAGATAGAGCATTTTCGAATGCAGCCTAAATATACTTATCATCATAAATTGACTATTGGTGAGAATAATATAAAAAAAATTTCATACAATACTATTTACACATCTTGAAATAGTTGTTAGACAAACAAAAGAGGTCAATAATTTCAAAATTTATTTATATTGAAATAAAAATTAAAAGTAAAATAATTGAGATGTAAAGTTAAAAAAATTGTTACAATGATTAAATAAAAAAAAAGAAATTTTTTTAAATAAATAAAAAAAAATTGTAATTTTTCAGGTAACCACAAAGAAGTGTTGGACTTGTCATTATCTCTGCAAGATTACCAACTCCAAGAAGTAACCTTGTATGCAAAGCAAGGCCAGAGTCTGAGCTCAGCTCTGAGTTCCCAGGACATAATGGTCCTGCAGCGTCAAGAGGAGCGTCGACGTCATCAAGCGAAGCAAAGTATCTTCGGGTTCATGTTCAAGAAGTCTTCGAAAGAGAGCTCGTCGGTGAGCACCGAGAGCGGGAGCTACGGGGCAAGAAGTGTTTCTCCCGCGAGAAGCGACGACACTGGAAGAAGCATAAGTCCCCTGGTCGCCCCGGTCCCGACAAGGCCACTGAGAAAAAGACGACCTGCGCCCAACCCTCCGTCTCGTCAATCTGCGTCGAGGGAAAACGATGTGGTTAACGCCAAGACTAATAACAAAGATTGTGAGACCACTGAGGACAAGCTGGTAATAACTCACAGTCGTAATAGCAGTGACAGCTCCGGCTACCACGAGGCTTCAGTCCTCAGTGATAATCCGGATTCTGCTGGTAGAATGCCGGAAACTCTGCCCAGGAGAGCTCGCCCGCCCAGCAGCAAGTTGGAGCCGCGAAAACTCGCTTTGACTTCCCAGGCCAGCAAGAGTCTCTGTAATTTAGCGATTAGTTCTGGTGGGCTTAGTCATGCTAATAGTAATACATCATTAAGCTCAACTGGTAAGTCTTATTACTTACTCTTATTATTTATTTAATTATATTTAATTAACTGCTAATTAGTTTAGTTATTTTATTTTATTTAATTAAAGTAATGATGTTGATTATAAAATTTTTATATAAGTTTTATAGATAAGTAGTGTCATTTATAATGAGTTTGACATTTTATTTTATAAAATTATTTTTATTTAAATTATACACGCAAAGAAATTTTTAAAAATCAATTTTTTTAATTTATTAAATTGGTTAATTTTTAATTATATATATTTATTAATTGCTTTTTTGTACATTTACATTTTTGCAATAGAGGTTACAATAGTATTTCAGTATTTTAATTTTTAATTAAAAAAAAAAAAAAAAGTAATTTTTAATTAAAAAAAAATTTTTTAGGTGAATAAACATTTTATATTTTTATAATTATTTAATTTCATTAGAAAAAACATTTAATTTTATCAAAAAAAATTTTTTTTGATTATTTTAGTTTAAAAAATTATACTCATAAAGAAATTTTTAAAAATCAATTCTTTTAATTTATTTAATTGGTCAATTATAAATTAAAAACTATTTTTTTTAACTATACAAATATTTTATATTTTTATAATTATTTAATTTCATTAGAGAGCATTAAATTTTATTAAAAAACAAAACAATTTTTATTTTTTTTTTAATAAAATTTTTTTAATTTAGTAAATTGATCAATTTTTAATTAAAAAAAATTTTTTTTTTATTATATTAATTTAAAAAATTATACACTTACAAAAATTTTTAAAAATCAATTATTTTAATTTAATAAATTGATCAATTTTTATAATTATTTAATTTAATTAGAAAGGGCATTAAATTTTATCTAAAAAAAAAATTCAATGAATAATAATAATAATAATTAAATTAATTTGTTTGCATAATCAGAAACGAATTCAAGTGAGTTAATAAAATTTATAATTAACGCTAAATGATAAAGCATTAATAATAGACGATGATGTTTATCGACGATAACAAAATAATTTTTGTTAAAGGTATTAGAAAGAAACGAGCAGCGCCTCCGCCGCCGGTGAGTAGGCCACTGTCCTCGGCGATATCATCACAAGCCTTGGAGCGTATTGTTGACTCAGAGGAGTCTCTAACTTCGGACATGGGTGTATCGAAGCCTCCGTCAGATATTGCTGCGTCAGAAACAGAAACTCACTCGAAAGCAAACTCGGACATTGTAGTCACCAGTGTTAGTCATACCATTAAGACCAGCGATTTCAACTTTGACAGTCTTCCTAAACGGGACCTTGTTAAATTGTCTAAAGACAGTAGCCAGATAGATAGAGATGCTTTTGAGCCCGTCAAAAAAGCGCCAATACCTATTGAAGTCTCTGTAGTTATTGAGAAAAAATTCTCTACTCCTGTTGAAAAAATAGCTCCTGTTCCTGCTGAAGCTATATACCAAGAAAATAATTATGTAGAGGCTAGAGTTAAAAGAGGTAAGTTTGTTCGTAGTAAAAAAAGTTTTGATGATAATGAAATAGCTTTTAGTTTTATATCGCAAAATTCTTATGAAAAAATTTTTGAACAAGAAATTATTGAAAATAATAATAATAATAATAATAATTTTAGTGGAAAAAAATCAATAGATAGAGATAAGTTTAATTATTTTGAAAATGATAACAAGATTAAATTAAAATTAGATAAAAATTATCAAGACAGAAGAAAAAATTTGTTAAAAATATCTAATATAAAATTAGATAACCGGACAAGTGACAAATTAAATAAAGATAAAAATAATCGGACGGTTAAATATTCACGTAGCTTTAATTCAAGCGATTGTAATCAAAAGAGGAGCAAAGATCGAGTTGTAGGTGTCAGTGACCTTAAATTAGAAGAAGATCCGGCGATTAAAAGAGCTAATAATAATAATAATAATAATAATAATAATAATAATAATAATAATAGTTTATTAAAATTAAATGGTGGTGGAATGAGAACGAGAAAGTCAAACTCAATATCTGAGTATGATGTTTTTAAAAACAATTCATCATCGCGACTGAGTAATTTAGAGATTTTAGACACCGTACCTCCGTCTATCACTGAGAAACCTGTTGACATTAAAAAAGCACCGGTTGGTACTGCTGAAGACATTATTCCCAGTGATATAAAAGGCATCCCGTCATTTCCGTTATCTAATAAATCAAATGTTAATATTGGTATTAATAATAAATTGAGCATACTTAAACCGCCGCCTCCTGGGCTGGTCAGCCGCCAGGAGTCTAATGAAAATTGGAATAACTTTATTAATAGATTGAATTTTATATTAGACAGTAAGCTTGAAGAATTTTTTGTTTGAATTTTTATTTAATTATCATTTATCAATTTAATTAAACTTATTTTTAATTTCATTTCATTTATTTTATTATTCAGACAAACGGTATTTTAAATCCCTAATTTACATAATTTTTTCATTTATTTTATCGCTTATTTATTCAATTCGTCAATATTTATTTTAATAACTCCAATTTTATTTATTATTTTCAATACAATTGTTTTTATTATTTTTTTTTATCCATCGATAAATATCTACTGACAAAAATGTTAATTAATAACTAACAACCTTGCTTGAAGCAGTAAAATTTTGCTTTATTAAATAATGACTTGTTAAATTGCATTGTACTTTCTTAAATATTGACATTTTTAAAGATATAAGCTCATTTCGATGTTACACTTATCAAGAGCTTTCATTTGAATACCCACATGGCATTTTTATATATTTTTCATATATACATATATGTAATATATATAAATATATAAAATATATGAAAAATTGATGTGGGTACTCAAATGAAAGGTCTTTATGAGTGTAACATCAAGATGAGCTTATATTTTTAAAAATGTCAATAGTTCTCAAGATACAAGGTCATTTTTTAATTACTGACATTTTTTAAGATATAAACTCATTTCGATGTTACATTCATCGAGACCTTTAATTTAAATACCCACATGCATTTTTTATATATTTTTCATATATACATATATATATAATATATATAAATATAATATATAAAATATATGAAAAATTGATGTGGGTACTCAAATGAAAGGTCTCGATGAGTGTAACATCGGGGTGAGCTTATATCTTTAAAAATGTCAATGGTTAACAAGATACAAGGTCATTTCTTAAATTTCACTAAAAAAAACCGATTTTATCATATGACTATCCTGGAAACAAATTTTTTCTTATCGTCTTAATAACATAGATAATTTTTAATTGCGTAATTAACAAGTATGTAATAAAAATAATTGCAAATAGATATTTTTGAAATGTCTTTTCCTGTTTGCTTAATTACCTGCTTATAGATTTCATCTAATATATTTATTTATTATTACCTCTTGCTTTTTTTTTTTTTTTTAAATTGTATTGCACATTATTTTATTTTATTTAAAAAACTGGTGATGGCTATTTTATATTTTTTCTCCAGCTGGAATTGCACCTACTCCTAAACCACGTAATAAAGTGCCAGTAGTTCCAAAGCGTGTAAGCTCAGCTTTGTCAGCAAAGACCGCTAGCGAAATAGAACAAAGTTTACCGACGACTAACGAAGACAATGACCAGGAGTCGAAAATAAAAAATAATCCTGAAACTGAGGAAGAAATAAAGGAAAATTATGACCCTGTAACTTTAAATGTTGCTGGAGTAACTAGTAAGAGCTCGAGTGCATTAAATTCGGATCTCTCCTCGAGATCGCCGGATATGGAAGCTGCTGGTAGAACAAAACTGGACATAGAAAGCCCTTGGAATGCATTGTCTAGCAGCAACACGCCTAACGAAGAACAATATCACCCATTTATAACCACTGGCACTAATTTAAGTCTACCTATGGAAAATTTAACACACTCTACCCAGCCCGAGGAAGGGGAACACTGTAGTCAAGGAACAGGGAAAGCAGGTGCATGTCGTTAGCCTACTAACACTAACTTTTGATATTTATTTATTATTTTTACAGGCTGTTTATTATCCAAAGCTGTGCATTTTTTTTTATTTTTTTCTTTTTTGTTAATTTTAATGATACTGAAGTTGACAAATTTTTTTAGTAATTAAATTATCATTAAAAAAAAATTATTAGTGAATATTTTTAGAAGCATTTATTATGAAAATTAATATAGCAGATATTTAATAATTAAAAAAAAATTTTTTTTAACAAAAAATTATGGCAAAAAAAATTTGGCACTTAAAAATTTTTTTAAATTAAAAATGCAATTTTTTAAAAATAAATTTTTTTGTTGAAAAATTTTTTTAAATGGTCAAGTGTTAATTTTAATGTCATTTATTGCAATTGATTTATTATTAATTAAAAAAAAATTGTCAGCTAACTTTAGTATCATTAATTTTAACAAATTATTGCATGAGTTGAAAACTTTCAAATTAATTTACTGCACTATGGTTGTAAATTTTTTATAAAAAATTAATAATTTAAAAAAACTATAATTTAATTTAAAATACTTTTTTGCTCTTCTACTTTCCAATTTTAGTCAATCCGGTATTTTTTAATTTTTTTATAACAAATAAATCCTATTGTTCAATTTATTTTTTGTCTATTTATATTAACTTACTTATACAAAGTTATTTATTTTTTAGGGAATGAAAGTCAAACCGAAATCGATCGTCTGCTAGAAAAAGTATCAACAACTCTGGCCAGCGTTATTCCATCTGAGGAGCGAGCCAAGTCCAGTGAAATAAAACCCACTGATCCGGAAAAAATCTCTGAATTAAATAAAACTCAAGATAATTCATCACCAAACAACAAAAACAACAATGAAAATTCAGATGTCCAAAACTCCACTTATAATTCACAGCAAGACACTTCAGACTATGTATCAGCAAACGGAGAAGATTTATCAGCTACAGATTGGGAGTATCAATTGCCAGACCCACCTTCTGCATTTCGGGATGAGACAGGATCGCTGGATGGCTACGACACAATAACACTGCGCTCTGTAGAAGCATTCAAGGACCCGATTGCCATTGATGTAGATACTGATAAAGCTATCAAGAAATTAGATCGCGTCCTAGATAATTTCGAGGATAAAAAACCAGAAGAGCTTTCTGTAGAAAATAACAGCGTCGAGTTAAGAAGAAATGTAATTACCGAATTGGAGAGCAAGATTGAAAACGGCTGTTTAAATCAAACTAACAAGCCGTCTGATGAGTCAAGAAAATCTTCTATTGAAACATCTACACCCAAAGTTGCTCCAATTGAAAATACTTTGCCGAATTTTACAATTACAACTTATGCGAGACAAAAAAGCTTGAATATTTTTCATTCTAAAAATTCGACGTCAAAAAATGAGGAGAGAATTGTTAAAACTTTTGCAACTTTATCAAGAAATATTAATGGGAATTCAATTTCTAAATTTAATAATAATAATAATAATAATAATAATAATAATAATAAAGATTTTCAAATTGAAGAAAAAAAATTACCTGATAAAGAAAAAGAATTTTTAACCAATCCAGTGCACCGTTCAAAAAGTTACATTGTTTTGACAAATAATTCCAAGTACCGAGAATTTAAAACCATTGATGTGGTTGACAGTAGCAATAATAATAATAATAATAGTATGATTAAAGCAACAAGTGTCACTAATTTAAATCACAACACTTGTGAGACTAACGGCACCCAAGAAGATACCAAGCCGGCTAATAACTCAAAATTATTATCAAAAAATCCCCAAGACCGAGAATTGCAATCCGTCCAATTACTAAAGAGTATTTTGCCGCAATTAAAAAGCACTCTGGATGATAATCAAGGTGAGAATAAGACTAAGGATATTGATGATAAATCCGGACAAGCGAGCCAAGTTAAATTGAGCGACGATAAATCTGGAGAAAATGAATCTCCAGTACGGAAATCAGAAGAGATAAAGCGTTACAGGTACACCGGACCACCTGCAATAAGTCTCGGTAGTTGGTCAGAACGTCCTCGTGCTAATGTCCAGATAAAAATGGACACTGATTATAAATTTGGCGCTAATACAAATACCAGCGGTAATAAAACACTTGTTAATTTAAACAGCCCGAGTGACAACGTCGGGTCTAATAATTGTAGTAATTATGTTAAAACTTTACCAAAGAATATCAAGAGTAATTTTGATTGTAATAAAGTTAATGCGTTCTCTGGAGGCAATAATAATATTAATAATAATAATAATAATAATAATGGTAATAATGAAGACTCGGAATTTAAGAGGTTTAATATTGCAAAATTACATACGAGAACGAAAGACGAGGACAAACCGGTCGTAACAAATGTCGAACTGAAGAAATCTCATAATGACAAACCGGAATTTAAAGTCACTGATGATGATGATAATAAAATTGATACCAGACCGGTTAATTTTAAAGAACTAACTCAAGCTTTCGGTAAAGTTAATTTAAGATCTAAAAATAATTCTAAGTATAATTCAGTTAATCGTTACTCGGATATTTTTGACGGAAGGTCCAGTGTTGAGGCAGCTAATAATAAAAATCCAATTAAAGTGTCTGCTGCTAATGGACCCTTCAAACCTCCCACTGTAAATTCAAATGGCTTGGTTAAAAAGTACACCTCTGTTGTTGACATTGATCACCAGTTTACTAATGGGCAGAAAAAATTTAACAACTCCATTACTAAGTTAAACGGTCCCGCGACGGCTCCCAAGGGGTTCAAAGTTCAGGCCAATAAAATTTCACAGGTGCCTCTACCCCCGACGATGCCAATTATTACTGGAGTAACGCTAAAGAATAACAATAATTGTCCCACCAGGCCTGTGTCAATGCCGGTTGGTAAAGACTCCCGGGATCAGCTGCTGGAGTCTATTCGGTGTTTCGGACGAGATAAATTGAGGAACGTCAGCACGGTTTCTTGAATTTATCAAGATTCAATTTTGTTTTGTTTGTTAATTTTTTCATTAATTAATTATTGTAATTTAATTAATGTGTTGTTGTATATTGTTTAATTAAATTTATTTTAGATAAATATATTTTTGTAAGAAAGTCGGGTCAGACTTGATGGGCGATTTAAAAAAAAAAAAATTAGATATTTATTATTTTATTTAACAAGCGCCAGTAGCGATTTGTTGACTCTTGTAATTATTGTGTAATTATAAATTTATTATTTAGTTTAGTTGTTACTGTCAAGCTCAATTGTAACGACAGGCAATTTAATTAGCAGTGGAAATCTAATCAAATTGATATTAATATTCGCTGTAAATAGCTTATGCTTAGGTATTGTTATTACATGCATTCAAGTTTCTTTGAGAGAAATAACTGCGGAAATTATGTTAAAAAAATTGTACTAAATTTAATTTTTTTTTTTTCCATTGTTAAAGAATAATTGAAGAATTTCTTTTACTAGCGCAATTGCATTAAAGTGTATTAAACGGTGCCAATTTACGCGTTAATTTTGTCATCGGTGGAAAAAAAATCGTGGTTTTAAGATTTTTTTATCACGATAAAGTATATCGCGTTACAGATGCCACAAAAGTATATAATAAAAATTCTATTTTTTTTTTTCAAATCCAAAAAATTTTTTTAGTTCAGAGAAATTTTTTTTCATGAAATATGCAGAAAAAAATTTTTTTGGTCTTAAAAAATAAAAATAGAATTTTTATTACACGCCTTTATAAAAAATTTTTTTTTTTTGCATTTATGCACATTTCGGACGAAAGTATACGTCGATTCCCGAAAAAAAAAAATTTTTTATATTCTCTTATCACGGAAAGAACAAGATAATACAGAATATCATCCCAGATTATACTGAGTGAAAAAAAATTTCAGATAGTAGCTAGTATAATCTAGATTCTTTCTATTTCTAGAAACTTTTTTCACTATAGATATCACTGAATATAATCTGGGATGATATCCAGTGTCATCTTGTTCTTCCCGTATATGGCATCTGGAACGCGAGATAAATCTGTACTGAATGCATTAGTCCAAAGTAAAAATAAAGTTGATAAAATAATAATAATAATTATTATTATTATTATTATTATTATTATAATGTCTATCGCAGTATTTAACATTGCTCACTTGTATATTTTAAGAAAATTCAATGTGATATTGCATTGATAGGGAAGAAGTAATCAAACAGCTAAACTTTGGTTAATTTTTAATAAAAATTGTTACCAAAGTAGAATTTTTTTTTTTTCAATTAACATCAATGCGAGTACTTGAGTTTTCTAATTAAGAGACCAAAGGTTTTATTTTATTTTGTAAAACAAATAATAAGTCAATTGGTTTTTGTTTTCTTCTTTTCATCCTATCGGGAAAGTATATTTGATAAATAATAATAATAATAATGTAAAATACGTGATGGTCATACATCTTAAACCTGTAATTAAATATGTATACATATTAAAGATAAATATATAAATATAATTTATTAACGCTGTAATATTGCATTAATATAAAATTAATTATTTAAACAGTATTATTATTTTATTAGGTATTTTTTGGCCTTTAACAATTTTAATGATAAAATATATTAATGTATTTTATAAAATGTTACAATCATTTTTCTTTTTAAAGCACCAATTTAAGATTATGGCAGTCGATAAATACTGATAATTATCAAATAATTCATTAGATAATATAAAAAGATTTTTTTCTACCTGTAATGGAATTATTTTTCGTTAATCACAGTTTTTATTTATTTTATTTAATTGACTGGAATAGGCGTGTTACAATTTCCATGCCATAATTTTGTCTCGGAATCACATTGTGAGTAATTGGAAAAGACATCCGCGTAACCCCGATCTCGCCACCATGTACACAATTGTCGATTCCATCCACAGTCGACGGTGTGAATAAGTTCTGGTCTTTCCATACCAAGTAGAGTATAAAAATCTTAAAAAGTTCCACATGTGACAATTAATAAAAATTACAAGTGAAAATTTTTAGAAGAATTTTTTTACGGTGATTGATTTGTTAAAAAAATTTTTAAAATTGACAGCTGACGGCTAACTTTTATTTTATTGAAAATCACTACGTGATATAACAATGGTACCATTCACACTTGTGATGATATTAAAATTAAAAATCAAATAAGGCTAACCACAAGCAGGTTATAAATAATATACACATATATACATTGAATTACTTAGAGAAATTATAACACAGTTTTTATTATTCAGACCATTGAATTTTTATTTCAAAAATAAAAATAAAGTTTAAAAGAAGAAATGAATACAATTCTAACCTGACTTTCCAAGTCGCCGCGAACCCAGTGAATTTGGGGAATTGGTGATCCGTAAGCAATACACGTCAATTCTCCAGATTGTCTGTAACAAAATAAAATTAATAATAAATAATAACAATTAGGTAAGTCATAATAAACTATGATATTAAAATCAGCTGACTCCTGTCAACTTTTTTGATTTTTACAACAAAGTAACAATAAAAATTTTTACTAATATATTTTTTTTAATTTTAACAAGTGCAATATTGTTATTAATTTTTTTTTCATAATAATTTAATTGCCAATTTATTTATCAAAAAAATTTGTTTAAAAAATTACATTTTTTATTTTTTTTATGCCATAATTTATTTAATAGAAAATTATTAAATATATGCTAAATTAATTTTTATAAAAATTTCTAATGTCTGTCAACTTGATTTAAGTGTTATAATATAATAAACTTACCCTTTAGTTAGTAAAAGAGGTCCACCGGTAATTCTGACAGGTTTCCTCTTGACTTTAGACTAAAAAAAAAAAATTAAATTAAATTAACTGTCAACAAAGTAATGACATTAACAATTTTTAAATAGTGTTTACCAAAAAAAAAATTGCATTTTTAATTTTTTTTTATTTCTACTTCAATTTTAAAAATAATTCTTTTCTTATAATAATTAATTTATTAAAAAAATTATCAAATATCCGGTAAATTAATTAACATAGCAAAGTAAGTAATTATATAACAAAAACGTTCAAGGTAATTTATTCCGTGCAAGATAATTAAATAAATTACGACGAATGACTAATTAATTTCTAATAATTTCTTGTAGTAAAAAAAAAAGAACAGTATCAGCGATTACCAACCGTTTTATGATGATGTGTCTCGATATTGTCTGAGAGAGAATTTGTATAGGAATCATCGAGATGTTTTGGCCTGTCGTCGTAATCAACGGCGACTTCCATGGGAGATTGTGGCTCGTAATTGATGTAGTGACTCTTGGTCATCTGTATCACTAAGGTCAGGAAAATAAATCCCAGTGTTGACTTTTGAATAGTTTGTTCCATCTGTAAGATAAAAATCTTGCTGTTATAAAAGGTAAAAAATATAATTATAAATATTTATCAGCCCGGTGAATGCACTTAGATTTACTTTGACCCGCAAATCCAAATGCACCTAATTTATTGCCGCTTTTAACATTCATTTCTCATTACATTGCTTGTGCGCATAAAAAGAATCATCCTCGCATGCGAATTATGCCTCTTCATCTTCTCTTATGTTTTTATACTCGCCGGTAATGCATAATATAAAGTTAAAGAAAAAAAATAATGATAATAAAGGTAGTAAAAAAAAAAAAAAAAAAAAAAAAATAGTAATAATAATAAAAAGGCGAAGAAACTCAAACCAAGTCACGATCAGCAATTCTATCAGTGTCTCTACTCCTTCTCTCCTGACTTATAACACACATCATTTTTTTTCAATTGATACCTTCCGATCGTACCGTTTAATTAATTAAGTATTTTATAGTCAAGGTTCATTATTACATATATTATTATTAAATCTCTTCAATTTAAATCATTTATCAGTAATAAAAGTTATTTATTATTCTAAATTTAGATTGATAAAAATGGATAAAAAAAAACAATATTAAATATATAAATAATTAATTTTTATTAAATAACCCGCAGTAAATTTTATTTATTTTATTTATTTTATTGAGCAACGCATGTCTGACTAACAAAAATTTTACTACTTAACTTCGACTAATACATTTTTATGCGTTCTTTGTTTTACGGTCACGATAAATATAGACAATAAATTTCAACGGGATTAATTAAGTTAAGTGCATCGACTTTTATTTTAGTAACTAAATAATATTGCAGGATAATAATTGACATGATAGAGAGCCAGTTTATAAAGTTAATTAATTTTTATACAAGTACTTGAGACCAATTAATTAATTAATTTTTTTTTTTCTAGGTTTGTATAAAAAAAGATGATTATTACACTGATAGATTTGTTTATATTTAATTATTAACTGTTAATAAAATGAAAATTAAATTAGCCATGTAAAAATTTTTAGAATTTTTTTTATTTAAGAATTATTATAAAAAAATTTTTTTCATTTGTTAAAAACTTCATAAACTACAAGTGCAATTTTTTAAAAATATTTTTTATAATTTAATAAATTAAATAATTATCTTCAAATAAATTAAATTAATTAATTATTTATTAGAGGCCACTTTTTAGTCTTTAATAAATATTTAAATATTTAATAAATTAATATCAGATTTATTAAATACAAACAAATCATTTTAAATAGGTATTTATGGGAATAGAGGGAAATCCTCATTAAATAATGAGAATAATTATATAAATTCATGAAATTAAAATCAAGAGTGTCACGTACAAGTAGACAAGAGTACGAGGATAATTCTCGAGAGAACCAGACATTTATTCGTCATCGCTCAGAGCTGTCTACCGCTGCCGATTATGTCGGAAGGCACGTACATACATTTACATTAAAATACACATGCAAGTATATTTTAAAGTGGAAAATCAATAATTTGCAAAGAGTGGAATACTTGAGCGTAAGAATTAAAATAATTGGTGGAATTTAAAAAAATAATATAACAGGACGTGAGTCGGCGGAAACATGTAATTTTATTATTTATTATTATATACACAACATATTACGCGACGGATTTCGTATTATGGTTTGTACGTAGTAAGAGTGATTAATATAAATAAGTCAATGGAATTATTGGGAGTCCTACGTCATTTAGTTGGTAAATATATAAACCAGTGTTGTATATTTGTTGGGGAGATCAAGTTGACTGGGTAATTTTAGTTGTTACATTAGTTAGTAAGTAAATCAGTGTAGCAGATGAGATGAGATGAGAGTTATCTCATAACTCATATCATACTGAGAATTCGAATAGAAGAGTGTGGTATGGATCAAATAAATTGAGAGACAATACTGAGGAAAGAGAAGAAGAGAATTTAAATGTGACGCATGCACTTGTCACTTTATTCAAACTCTAGTTTATTATTTTTTATTTTTATTTTTATTTTTATTCAGATTATTTATACAAGTCTAATTAAAAAATAATTATTGCAGGTAGCTGAATATAATAAATTAATTTAACCGGAATAAAATTGAAATTCAAGAGAACGGCAGTTGAAAAATAAAATTAAAAGGATCGGACACGAGTCGAGTGTCTGAAGAGAAATCTCAAGATGCCTCGAATAAAATAGCAATAAAAATTCGAATTAACCAAGAGGCCGCGCGTTGGATTCGTGCGCACGCTCGTTCGATCTCAAGTCCACAAATCACACATTTGTATTTAATTATGGTTCATCGTCATCCTCACGTGATGTATATATATGTAAGTATAAGTATGTATATATATCATGGAACACCATGACATATCTTTTAAGAATTTACTCACAAGTCTTCGTAATTATTGTCTTCCATGAATAAAAATAAAATTCAAAGTAAATAATGTACACTGGGAAAAAAAAAAATTAACAATTTCTTGGTACATTAAATTAGAACAAAAAAATATTTTTAAAAAATTGCATTTAAAGTTTTTCAAGTTTTTTACAAATGAAAATTTTTTTTTATTATTTTGTAATCATTTTTTCAATGAAAAAAAATTCTTAAAATTTTCAGATGTCGGCTAACTTAATTTTCATTCAATATTTATCTCTGAATAATAGATCAACAAGAGACAATAGCTTTATTTAAATTAAGTAAAAATTATTTCAATTAATTTAACAAGTTCTTGAGCTAAGAATAAAAATATTCTTTAAAATTTCCAAGAACATGAATTGTATCAAGAAAATTTTCTTCATAAAAGTATTTTTTTTTCTCAGTGTAGAACAAAAATAATAAAAAACTTGCAATGTTTTTTTTTTTTATTATTATTGTTATTATTTAAATGAATAAATTTTAAATTAATGTGACTTTACCAGTAGATTTGACTACGTGACTTATTGTATGATGCAACAAGCCTGCGATGTGAGTCCGGTACAGACTCGATGCAGACGTGCAAAAAAATAATTTACTCTACAATGAATTTATGTCAATTTTATTTTTAAACTTTTATTAACAATTTACCCTCAGATTTAATAAAATTCCCACTCTTAAAGGCCATTTTTTTATTGATAAAAATGACGCGTATTTTTAGTGTAATAAAATTAAATTTTTAAAATAAATTATTAATTATTTATTAGTGCGTTAATAAATTAATAAATTGTTTAAATAAATAAAATTAAACAAAATAAAGTATTAAAAATAAATTCTTACTTCATTAGTAGAAAGTAAACTTTGTAGTCGCTATAAAGACCCGCGAGATCTCTTCAGCAGCACGAAACTGTTAAGACTGCCGTAATATCTCCCGAATACCCGATCCGATGATTTAGTTCAAACACGTGGGTAGATCGCGTCGTCTGACTTACCGACTATGGCACGTGTTTTAAGTCTATGTATGTTACACATTTAATATTTAATAGAATCGCGTGTATCACGCCTCTTATTTTAAAATTAATCATTGCACTGTTTGATCTAGCAACTCTAATAAAATTTTTCATCATCTTCTTGAGCAATTATTTTACTTTAATAAAATAAAGAATTTTTATTTATTTATTCAAATAATAACTTAATTAAATTCACAGATTTGAATCTCTGATAATAATGAATTTAAATTTAATTTACAATTAATTCAATTTGCGAGTGCATTTGCACACATGTAAAATAAAATGAATGCACGTGCAGGTTGAAACTAGTTAAATCAGGCAATAAGTCATATCATACAAACCATACAATGTAAATACAACTGGTGTCCCTTTACTGTTACATGCATTACATACCCAGTGTACGTACTCTTACTCTTACTCTCATGTATTTAATTCTTATTATTATGACTTATAATACGCATTAATCTTATGATCTAATTCCTCGGTACTTGAACTCACGTCGAAATTCAATATTACAGTCTCTTAGATTTTAGCAATTCATATTATTTGATTTATAGTCTAGTGATGAAGATAACGCCGGAATAATGATTTAAAAAATTTCATACATTTTTCTTCACGACTTTACGTAAGTACTTTTTTTTATTTTTTATTTGCAAATTATTTTATTTAAAAGAAGAAATTTAATAAAAAATTTTTCAATAAATTTTTATTAAATATTAATTTATTTATGTAACTAATTTTTTTATTTTTATTTCCAAATTAATTTATTTAAAAGAAGAAATTTAATAACAAATTTTCTAATAAATTTTTATTAAATATTAATTTATTTATTTTTTATTTTCAAATCACTTTATTTAAAAGAAGAAATATATAAAAAAAAATTTTTCAACAAATTTTCTAATAAATTTTTATTAAATATTAATTTATTTATTTTTTATTTGCAAATCACTTTATTAAAAAGAACAAATTTAATAAAAATTTTTCCAGCAAATTTTCTAATAAATTTTTATTAAATATTAATTTATTTATTTTTTATTTGCAAATCACTTTATTAAAAAGAACAAATTTAATAAAAATTTTTCCAGCAAATTTTCTAATAAATTTTTATTAATTATTAATTTATTTACGTAAGTACTTTTTTATATTTTTTATTTGCAAATCACTTTATGAAGAAATTTAATAAAAAATTTTTCCAGCAGATTTTCTAATAAATATTAATTTATCTTGTGACAAACGCGAATTAAAAAGGTAGGTCAAGGTGCGCGGATTTAAAATCTTCCGGCTTAAAAATATTCTTCACTACTTAACGCTAGCTTACCTAATTGTTTTTTTTTTTTTTTTTTTTTTTTTTTTTTCAGTAAATAAAATTCCACTGACCTTGGTGTAAATAATTAGCAGCAGTTATTAACTTAAATTTCTCCTGATAATTGCCGTAAAAACTTAGATAAAAACTTAAACTGTTATGCGGTGGTTGGTTGAACAAGCTCAACAAAAGGTCGGAAGATGAATTAATACTGTGAGCTGGTGATCCCGATATTTATACTCAGAAATGCAACAATCGTGACGTATCATTTGCGCTCGATTG